GGGGGGGGGCGGATACCGCCGATTTCCTCTTCGAGTACCTCTCTTCGAGTGCAAGTAAGAGTGGAGAAAAGAGGTGGCGTGGAGACGCGAAGCTTTTTTCTTTCCTTTTTTTTCCTCCTCCTCCTCCTCTTCTTCTTCTTCCTCTTCTAAATACGGCGAGATAGCGAAAAAAAGTGTGCAGCGCTGGCCTACCCTGTTCCTCCTCCTTAATGAAACGAAGGCGGGCGGGGGGAGGGGAGAATAAGACATCGAAGAGGATCCCTTATCTCTATGATTAATCTCGTGTGAATTATACACATCGGTATTATAAAGTCGACGACGATTTCGTTTGGGAAATGAAACTCGACTTCAGGATGAATAAACGTCGTATATAATGAATAGTTTAGCGGGAGAGATAATTATTTTAAATAGTGGGTTAAATATTAATTAGTGGTTAGTTGGAATATGCTCGTGAGCCGTACACAGCTACACATTTACCGTGAAATGATCGTAGATCGTAGATTTTTAGCATTTTTATAAATGCTAAAGAAAAGGTGGAGGTGTGTATAAGTTGAAAACTGGAGAGAAAGAGAGAGAGAGAGAGAGAGAGAGAGAGAATGGGAGAGAGTGAAAGAGAAAGAGTGCGATAAAGTTATTAATGGTCGTAGTCAGGAACATGCGACATTTACACATCGAATACATTTAAAAAACGTGTGTGTTTTACGTCATCTCGCGTCTTTTCAGGGATTTTTCGCCGCTATTTCTTTCTTTTTTTTTTTAAATTCAACAACTTTCTTCTCTTCTCCGAAATGCGGCAAATCTTCCTTCTTGCTCGAGTCGACTTTTATATAGATCGAAAGCAAAACGTTATATATATATATATGTATATATAAATTATGTCAAAGTTGTACAACATCGTGTACAAAAAAAGTAATCGATAGTTTAAAAATACGCTTTTCTAGTAAGCTCGATAACGAGATTAACGTATCGTTATAAAAATCAATCGAGACTAGAGAAAGAGACTAGAAGTGTGTCCACGAAGTGTTCTCTTCTCGAGTCGGCCGTACATATCCAAATAAATACGTAATTTAAATAACACGACTAATATCGTGTTAGCATCTTTACAATTCACCGTTTAAAATTCACTATGTACATCTCTTATCTTACTTAATATTAATTAAATAACATCCTTCTTGACACTTCCACCGTACCACGTACACTTATACATCGCGTGTCAAATGGCTGGAACCATAGAAGATGGTTCACAAAAATGTCGAGTGGTTGGCCACTCGAGGAGGATATATGATAAAAGTGAAAATCCGAGCTTAATTCGGAGACGCGAGACGTCTGGTGGTGGATATTGCGATGAAGTGACTTGCTTGCGCGGTGTGGTATTAAATAGATACATAAATACTAAGTTACAAGTTCGATTACCGCCCATTTACGCAACGGTGTGTACGCATCGACAAGTGTGTCCTTTTTCTTCTTCTCCCCCGTCGTTGTTCGCTTTTCTTTACGTTTCGCCGTCTGTCGTCGCTTAAACGCAACGAACGCAGAGAGCGCGATCTGGTGGACGAATATCGCTTCTTCGTAAAAATGGTGGAGGACTTCGTGAAATTGGACGCGAAACGACGCGAACAACAAAAGATTTCAAAAGGTTAAGAGAGTGCGTTTGATTAACAATTTGTTTGAAATTCCTTCTTTGTTTAACGACGATACATTGTTCCACATTTGCTCGCGAAAGTGTTTTTCCTTTCCCATTTACCTTCGTCGTATTGATGCCACGCGTATTGTGTTTCAGAGACGAGTGTGAAAATATAATACGAGAGCAGAGGTAGAGAGAACTGTACGAGAATCGAAGAAATATCGTTCGTCTCTCATCTTCGAAATTGTAGAAATGTTGAAACTTTTCCTCTCGCTGGACAGTCGTCTCGTCAACAACGGCGCGCATAAACATAACCTCGAAACTGTGTTACTGTGTTAATAACGTTGGTCACTGCAATTTTTCCGTCGAAGTCTCGTTAAATTTTTGCCCAAAATACATTCGCGATATCGATTCCTTTTTTCTAATTTCATGTTTAATAATTAATCTTAGGCAATAATCCAGAGAATTTTATGTGACATTCTCTATGTCTCTTTAGGAGGTTTTTTTTTTCGTTTCGATGATTCCTCGAGAATAATTTCTCGTGGAACAGCAAGGAGGCGAGCCATTTTCGCCACTGTTCGCCTTCTCCCCTCTCGCTTCGCACTTTCCCCTTTTTCGAACTTAATGCATTATTTATAAAATGGTTGCAAGCAAATATTTTTTCCAGGTTAACGCCACCTATATACACCGGTGTATAACACACACTGTAGATAACCGCATAGATAATTTCACTCCGCGAAC